AAGAAATTGTAATTTAAAAATTAAAAAAAATTCACTAAAAATGATTTGTCCCATTTCTACTGACTCCCCCCCATATGGTTCAAACTGATAAATAAAAAAATCTCATATAGATATGCATTATTGTCAAGCAATTTTTAAATATATTTGTCACTTTGCATCAAAATATAAAAAATTTGCTTGCTTTATTTTTGCTAATAACAAGCATAAGGTGCCAATTGGAAAAGGAATACCAACAAGTACTGGAGTTCGTAATAAAAAAATGGCTGTACTAGTAGAAATAAAGCTTTTTACATCTGATTATGACTATACAAAGCTTTCATTAACTCCTTCAATATCACTATTTACTAATATTCCAGAAAATCCTATTCAATCATTTTATTCTGAACAAGTTTATATTGTACTAAAGGATACAACCTTTAAGGCCAGCTCAGCTCTTAGACATGCTACAGAATTTTATAATTCAATTGAACAACATTATTCTAATACTAGTTCTTTACCAGAAATTATAATAATTTATACAGATAGAGGTTCTAATCATCATTGTAATTTTGGATCTGTTCAAATTTCACTTATATCACTTTTTTTAAATGATAATTTTGATTTAGTTATTGCTACACATATTGCACCTTATCACAGTTGAGCAAATCCTGCTGAGGAATAATGTCTATTCTAAATTATGGCTTTTAGGGTGTTGCTCTTCAGCGTGAACAAATGTTAGAAATTGTAAACTTTAGATTCAATTCGCTATAAAGCAGAAAAAATTCTACTTTAAAACATAAATTACTTGCTTCTATTAATAAAATACAAGCAATTTTATTTGATCATATTAGATGATTAAAGTTACATGATAATTATTTTGAAATTAATAACCTTGCATTAGAAGAGACATCAATTCTTTTTTTAAAGTAATTTATTTATTTATTTATTTATTTTATTTATTTATTTATTTATTTATTATTTAATTATTCTATATTAAAACTAACTTCTATATTATTAAAGATAATGACTAAAGTTGATCCAGAATTAGATAAATCAATGACAACAATAAATCAATTACAAAAGCAAACATTATATCAAAATTTTGTAAAAAATCATTGCCGTATTAGAAATTATATGTTTCAGGTATTATTACTACTATAAGCATATAATTTAATAATTAATTTATTGATCTAATTTATTAATTATAAGATAATAAAATGTGGTAAATTTGATTGCAAAGCATGCAAAAAAGTTCGTATGCCACATGATGATTTTCAAAGTTTATCATTTATTCCTGATCCTGAACTATTAGAAAATGGTAAGTTCTAAATTTAAACTATTGTATATAATATCAAAAATAATTATTTAGATTATTTAACCTTTATTAGATAATAATCATTATAAAGAATTTTATAATGTTTATGGCCAGCCAACCTCAGAAAAATTTCACCCATCAGCAATGAATAATTCTGTTAGTAAAGACCCGAATGAAAAAAATTGGATCAATTTAATAACACAAAAATTAGATGTGTAGTATCATGTGAACATTGTAACAAAATATGATGTATATATAGTAATTCTGCTTTAACAGAGAATGAGGAAATCCAACTTCAAGCTACCCTTGATGGTTTATGTTATACATGTGGATCACAATTGCTACCAGAAGATCATGAACTTTTAAAGCATTTAAGTGTTAAATTAAATATTACTTGTAATTCCCCTATTGAGGCAACATATTTTTCATGGCGTCTTAAAAAGTTAGATATTTGTTATTGGTGCAGAGAGTCAGAGGATCTTATAGAACCTTCAGATAAATTAAAGGCTGAATGGAAAACTATATATCCTCTATGCGCATTTTGTAAAGAAAATGGAAAAACATGGTATAAAAGAGCCCAAAAAAAATTTATTCAATAAGTGCTACAAGTAAAAAAGAAAAGCATAATGTATAAAACATTACTATAATTTTTAAATAAACTAAATTGATTATATTTGAATAAAAAACAAAATTAGGATACTTAAAAAAATTAGGTTAAAATGAACCTAAATTAGGTACAATTTGAACCTAATTTAGGTTCTTTTAGTTTGTTTAATTTTTCCCCTCCCCCCTCCAAGCAATTATGAAAAAAAGAACGTTAAACGAATCTTTAAATTCAAACGGCCTAACCGTAAATCTCCATATCAGATAAAATTCCCCTGATCTATTGGCCGGTAATTTATGTCTAAGTTAAACGTAGCAAGTAGACATCCTCCAGTTGCCCTCTTTTTCCTGCCATGTACCGTATTTTCGCGGAATAACGCCCATCTGCGCGTTATTTCGGGAAGCTATATATGTTATTTTTAGGGGGCGCAATTTTTGAAATAACGCTCATGAGCGTTATTCCGCGAAAATACGGTAATATACCCGGCCCGTTTATATGGAAATTTCATCCAATCAGAACGCGATAGCTCGAATAGCTAAGGCATATACTAGCGCTAGAAAATTCGGTTTTGGTATAAGTGTACAGTGTTTGAAATTTCAGACACAAACACTGCTCTTATGAGAACATAGGTGTTTTCAAAAAAAAAAAAAAGCTGATACTATAAATACATATTCTAGATAAAAATACTTATCTTTATTATTCTACTGTTCACAAAAATTTTTAATAGCATCTAAATCCAATTTTAACCAATATAAATATATAAATATAGTTATATAATAAACATTAGTATAATGAGGATTATATAAACCCGTATAAATTGCTTTGACACTGATATTATTATTCGGATCGGTAAACGACGGTAAACATTGTAGGTAAGCGAAATTCTTTTCTCCATTTTGGAAACAATCAATTAGAATTAAACTAATTTATCATGAATATCTATGAAGACTCATTGAAATTTCCAGATTTAAATATGAACTCTTTTTACGGTCTATATATTTTATATGTGCAAGCGAAAATTTTAAGGTGACAACCATACTTGAATATTTCGATTGGGTAATTTAACAGTCTCTGATACTTTAAAATTCTGTGCTTGATCACGTACATAATAAATATAGTACTATTGATCTTTTTTTTTCTCCTTTTATACAAATGATGTATAAAAAGGATTCGGAGTTATCTTGTTATGTAACGAACTCGCTATTGTATAACGAACAGAAATAGCCAGTTCGGGTATAGATGTGTTTTGTCTGAAATAGTAACCATATATTACTAAAGCCTAGAAAATTCCTGAGGTCCACTAACGCCTCACATTATGTCCGAACTGTACAGTGTCTAATTTCGGACATATTAAATATCATTAAATTAAGCTTTACAAGAGTAAGAATTAAAACAAGCATTTCTTTATCATGCCTGTGCTTTCTTGATTTATCATTTCAAATTGAATGCGACTGTTGATACAAGTCTTTAGCATTAATACTTTGTTTTGCCTAAGGTTTGCTGCAACTGTGCGTATAATTCAAAAAACGAATCAATTACTGCATGGAGTACATCACATGGCTTTTTTGAGTGGCGATTTTATTCCTCGCTTTGGCATTGCACTGCCAAAATGGTAAAGTAAAATTAGAATTACTTGAACTGCCATGTCACAGTTATTGCTTTTGATAGATAACGGATCTGTAGCCATGTTAACTACAATACATTTTATTGATGGTGAAGGAATTAGAATTAGTAGGGAGAAAAGACGGCCAAGAGAAATGAACGCTAATAGTAATGTAAAATTGTCCCAAATCTTAATCCAAATATAGCAAGATAGGTGAGGTGATGCAAAATGTTGTAATGAAACATTACTGCTCGATACATTCTGTTATGCGTATTTGAAGTCTCTTTCATTGATCAACTAGAGCATATCAATGCAAATGAAATAAAAACACGGTTTATGATCCTTTTACCAAAAAGAGAAGCATGTAAACCACAATCGAGAACACAGCTAATCAAAGCGTTGTATTGTGTTTTGACGCTGTTTAGGTATCTGTTTCTTTTCATTTCGGAATATAGGTATTTTATGACTAAACCATTCATTTCACAAAAACAAATCGTATACCGTGATATTCGAGACAAAGAATTTATCATCAACTTTGATATACTACTCCAATGCGCACTTGGTTAAAGAGAACCATGTACTTGAGATTTCAAAGGCAACAGAGAATGTCGATATGTTGATATAAATGGCGCCAAGGGAAAACCAGATTTCGGGCTTTCAAATTTATTATTGATTATTTACCAGATTCAGCCCTGATCAAAGATGTATATGATACATCAGTGTTGTTCGCTGGAACGTTCCAGTGGGAATTATTAGAATTGGAAGATCACTGGAAGCATAATAGCTTCCAGTGATCGAATGTCGCTGAACCGTTCCATTATCACTGGAACTTCCGTTCAAAAGTGACTTCCATGGGTATGCAGATATGCGAAATGATTTGTACATTTGATACAAAATTTTTTCTTAAGCGATTTAATAACTTCCTTTCATAATATAGACACTAACGCATTAGAGAATTTTGTCAACTGCAAATCTTCGCTGCAAACCTAGCGACATTTCAGCCATGCCTATATTTATATATGCTTGAGTAGCTTCGTCGCTCATATCTCAATTTTTTCTAATTTATTTGTTTATCAGATTTACCAATTTACGTAGATACGTATCGGTACGTACCATTGCTTTTAATATAATACTTGCAAGTTATATCTCGTTTTTACTTGTTATATTACGGTACTAATACGTATAAAAATACAGTATATACGTATTATCAATTTTGTGTTATCAGACTGTGCATAAACTTTTCTTTTCACTTGATTTAGATTCACCGCCATTTACAAAAAAAACTTCGCTATGTACTGTATAATGGAATCTTTGCCAGGAAAATGATACTCTGGGGCTATGTAGATTTAATGAATAAAGCTTAAATTTGTCAGTCTTCCGTTGATCCAATTTAAATAAACTTTTTTTTATTTTGTAGAGGCTAGTAAGCTCTGCAAAGAGAAAAAGGTTATTTAAATAGGATTATTGAGGGCTAGCAAATTTCATTTTATTCATCAATCTACATAGTCCCGGAGCGTTATTTTCCTAGCAAAGATCCCAAATATCATTGTAGTTAGATTGAAGCTAATCTGTGCGGGTTTTATAGAAGAAAACAAAGTGGATTATTTGAAGCCATGTTATCGCATTTTTTTTGTCTGCATTTTTAAGATCTCTTATTGAATTGTACATTTTATTCAGAGTCCACTTCAATTTTAAAAGCGAATGATATCATTACATAGATGCATATGAATTCGTCTACAAGATCAACAAGGTTACGGTTATTTTCCATAAGAATTGTGAACTGTCATTGTCGTAATACTTCCATAATGCCATATTCTGAAATACCGTGTGAAAGAGCTCAACGAAGATTTGATAGATCGAGAAGGGTTTATATTAAACACCTGCACCATTAAAGCTCTAAATTATGTCTGTTTGACAAAAAAATTTATAAATTAAATGTTATAATTTGAACAAAAGATTGCTTCGGAACTTTTATGAATTATTCTAATGACAATTCCTTTTTTATTTTTAGCATGTTGAAATTTAAGACAACGTAAAAATAGTAATGACGTAAATTGTACATGAGAATTTTTAGTGCAGTCGTTAATAATATGGCTGCACAATAATTATAAATAACATTATAGATTTGGAATTTATAAAATTAAAATATTTTTTTTATAAATATACAATAAATATTATAAATACAATTAAAATTGTATTATTTTAACTTTCTCCTTTCAAATTTTAAATTATATTTTAAATTCTTAAAACTTGGCACAAAAAATTGTGTAATATCTAGTTTTTGTTTTTTAACATCTGTTATAATATATCTATGAACAAGAGTAGCAACCAAAAGCCTTAATTCCATCATTGCAAAACTTTTATATTTATTTTTATAAACAAATTAATTTGATTATAAATATTATAAAGTAAAAATTAAATAAAAGGTCAACTTTATAATTGTTTAAATAAAAGAAAATTATACTATATTATAACTAGATATTAGTTCACTTACTTCTGTCCGATACAATTTCTTAAACCTAAAATATTGTTTAATTAAATTATCAAAACTTGAATAATTTTTTAAACAATAATATAAAAAACAAACCTGCAGAAAATGGATAATACACATCTTGCGGAATTTTTTCTGGTTCCAACCATCTTTCAGGTACAAACTCTTCAACATTTTCACCCCAATATTTTGGATCATGATGAAGATTATAAAAGTTTAAAATTAAATTTGTCTAATACAAATATCCACAATTAATATTAGCTAATAAATAAGTAAAGCAACTTAAATTTTATTAAAACTTACATTTTTGGGAATCATATATTTGCCAATTATTGTATCTTTTTCTGGAGTTCTTCCAATACCTGTTTTAAATAAAATTAATACAGTATATATAAATTGATAAATACATATCGGCGGATTTTTGGAATTTACTATTAAAAATTACAATAATATTTAACTGTGAATAACTTTTGATTCACTGGTCCGTTTTCGATGAAACGATTACTAAAATGTTCGTCTCGATGAGACGATTCTAATGGACCCAAAATCGTCAAAATCCAATCACAGGATCCTGAGGTCGATAGAGATTTGCGTCACTTCGGGTGT